AGACAAGTCGGTAGCCTGGTGAGTGGTCTGCAAGCAGGTATTCAAGATAGAGCAAGATGAGTGGTATCGCTGAACTGAACAGAGGGAGATAAAAGACATGCCGTTGCCGTGAGGTCAAGTTGTGGATGAGTCAGCGGGTCTAGAGGGTGGGCGATTGGCTCGAGGACGACGACGACCCCCTTTCACCACCTCCCTTCACAGCAATGCGTCACTTGGGAAACTTCAGCATTGCGGGGAGAGTTTGTAAGCCCCTCGGCGTTGAGGCGGCTCCGATTTTGAGGTTTCATCGCGGCATGTAAAGTGAGGCTAGTGTAGCCGGATCATACGTGGAGTTGAGCGCTACCCAATTGTCGCCACAAGGTAGCACAGGAACCAGCGCTGTCAAACACTCCACGGGCTGACGTGACACTGGGCGTGACATGGTCCACGGCGTATCTATTCCTGTGTTTGCCTGATGAATCCATCTGAAGGGTGGTATTATGAGCTGGGGTAGCAGAGTTTGCTGTTGGACACAAAACTATCCAGCCATGGAGCACAGGCGTGCTCTGAACGACCTGGAACAACACCAACGGCAAGAGCTCAGCCATGGAAAGTGGACATCAAAACAGGCTTCAACATCTTCTTCCCATTCAAGCTATTGTAGGCAGCGACCTGCTGACCATCCAATACCGGCCGGCAGCCCTCTGACAGTGAAGTCGCCGCACACCAAAGGGGCAACCCCATTGTCAACATCGTACGCATTCATATGCCACCTTTGCGACCTGAAGCTCGTTTCCCCGACGCAGATAAATCAAGGACGAGCGTTCTTTTCGTGGGTTTATGTCCATGTTTCTGTCCATGGTAATCGAACCGATCTTTCGACCTTACAACCCTTAACCCATCTCACAGCACACCAGCTGGCCTCCATCTCAGACAATCAGAATGGGCAGGACCAAAGGCAGAAGGCACGCAAGCAAAGTCTCCGAACAGGTTCCGTCTGATGAAGAAGTACACATCTCAGCAGTCAACCTTCTCCTCGGTCTGGATCCCTTCGTCCTGAAACATAAGCACAAGAACAAGTCTACGAAGACCGCGCTTCAAGATGATGACAAGTCAACGTCGGAAACCACGCCAACAGCAGACCTCAGCACCGAAAGCTCTGGAGACTCTTCCACTACCGAAGAGGCATCGAGCGATGATCAGTCGAGTCCCTCAAAGGCGAGCACCGACGCTGAGACGCCCGCTGAAGTCCAATCGGTCGAGGCCGACAACTCGTCCAGCGCCTCTGAGGCCAGCGCTGGAGAGACTGCTCAGGTCATCATGGACGAAAAGAGCGAAAAGAGCGTGACTTTCGCCGAGGACCAAAGTCGGACAGATGAGTCGACTCAAACGTCCTCCATCGACGCCGCGACGACCGCTTCCGAGAACGATCTCGCCAGGCCACTGCCGTCAACTGCTCCGAATGACAAGTGGACTGCGTCGGACGATGCCATGATCATAGGGATGAAAGAAGACGATGCTACCTGGGCCGTCATTGGCAACGCCATCGGCCGGGGAAAGAACGAAGTCAAGAAGCGATACCATGAGATAAAGGTCGTCACGGCGAACGCAACATCGGTACCAACTAGTAAGCAGGCGAGCGTGGACACCACCGAGCTAGAAAAGCCTC